AAAAAAGAAGAAGTTCGTGCTGTCGGCGGATTGGAGATGGAGGTATAGCTGGGGGTCCATAAGTTGTACCAGGTGATCTAGGGTGAGTAGCTGGGCGCGCATGCCAGACTGATCGCGAAGGAAATTCCGTTCCTGGCCTATGTAAGCAGTGTTGATTTGGGACGGATATGTGTGGGATTTACCATTCTGTCCATGAATCCAACAAAGGCCCAAAATGCGACTGCATCGTCTTGCATGACTGCGTAAATTGGTGCTAAGAGGTCACTCATTCCCTGGACATAGCCCAGGTCAGGATTGTATTCGTTGTATGTGAGAAGCATGTCCTTCATCTGCTCTAGGTGTACGTTCGTCCCTACATCCGCAAAGGGAGAGTCTGGATCGGGATGAGGGATATCTTCTCCTGCAAAGAGAGGTATCGTGCGATCTGTACGATGCACGTCTTTTTCTGAACCGATATGTTAGTAGCTGAATTCAGGAATGCCCCCCAAGTGAAGCAAGCATACCTATTCGGTTTTTCTGCTCTTTCCACCACTCGTACTGCTCGGTAGTGGTAGACCCCTCAACCATTCTCTCCCACCAAGCACCCTTCAGCCGGATGTATTCATCCCGCTTGGAATTCATCAGAGCCTGACGCTCGTCGCGGCTGCTGTCCCAAGGGTACACTCCGAGAAGGAAAAGCCATGCTTCCTTTCTGACCCCATCATTTGGGTCTAGTCCTCCATGGAAAATCCTCTCCTTCACTTCGTCCTCAGTAAGGTTGAGCCTTCCCGTGGTGGTATCAAAGAAGCCCTCCCATTCCTGCATAGTGACAGTTCTGCGTCGTTCTTGAATGGCCATTGTTCCAGTTTCAAGCTCCAAAATTTCAAAATCACCCACCGAGCTATTTTCCATTTCCAGAACGTCCCGTGCAGTCCATATGCGCTGAGACCTTTCTCGCTCGCTCTGCTCAGCAATGCTCATGGCCCATCGAGCCAAGTAGAGCCGGGCGCTATCAAACTCATCCTGCAAGGTTTGGATCTCGGGAGTCTTCATCAGGCGACGAACTTGCGGAGGAATCATGGTGTTGTCGGCAAGTTCGTTCGCTGTTCGCCTTGTGAACGTGGTAATCTTGCTGAGCTGCTCAAGGACCTTCCACCTAGTTTCCTTGAGTGCTTTCACAAAGGGATCCATTCCGGCATCTCGTTCTACACTGCCACCGGGTTGATGTGGGCCAGCAGCTGGATCTTGCCCTTGCTTCGTTACCGATCCGTCATAGCTGCTCAGTGGCCGCGCGAAGGATATGCGGTCCTCTTCGGACGGATTGATAAGATAGACACTGTTGTCGACAGAAGAGCGCTGCACCTCAACGTATTTCCGGAGCCACCGCAGAACCTCGTCACCGCCCCAGAATAGGCCACCATTTTCACCAAACGGGTCAAAGCTTTCCCTTGTCCTTCGTTTCTTCTGCAGTATCGTTGATTCGCACTCACTATCGTGAAAGAACAGCGCCGGGAAACTATCACCGGCGCGGGTATTGATCACTAGGCTACCAAACCACCAACCCAAGCTAGGAGGTCGCACTAGCAGCGAATAAATTTCGGACAGCGGGACGGCGAACGCATATAGACCTATCGGATCTTTATATGTGGTTGTAGTCGGGAGCGGTGGCACCAGATATCGTTGCTTCGGTGGTGAAGAGTTATCAGACAGGTCGACTTTGACATAGGTACTGTAGGCGTCGCCGAGGGAGGATTCGGGGACCCAGGCGAGGAGGTAGGAAGAGAGGTCGGCGGTGGTCTTAGCGATATTTGTTGATGCGGCATTGTTGCTCACAGTAGGAGCTGGCTTTTGTTGGAGCAGAGCGATAAAGCCAGGTATGTTGTCCTTGGAGGAGGGAGTCGGATGGACGTATACCTATGATACTCAGCACGACATCGGAACGTCAGCTCTGGCCCAATATGCAGTAACTTTTCAGATTTTCCAGAACCAACCTTGCTCTTGGAATATAAAAGCTTCACCCCTCTCCCTGATGTGGAGGAGATACTATTGTATTCATCCTCCTCGGCGTCGCTGACATCGTAGAAGGACGCCGTCGGTGACGGCGGCGAGGGAGGAGGAGTGAATCTGGTGCCGGAGCCTGCCATTCTTGATGGCGAATTTGAAGCTTGATGAGATATATTTCAGAGAATGGTGCTCATCATGCGAAAGACTGCGACTGAATTTGTTCTTTTTCTTTGAGTGAAGCTGATAAAACCAAAAGCAAATGACTGATCGCGGAGAATGAGATCACGACATAATCGTGGGGCACCTGATTGATCGACTGTCCCACTTTAGAAGGTCTTCGTTGGACTTCAAAGATAATGGATTCCACCAAACATAAGAGAAATGGTTTAATACTGAATCCTCGTCACTTTTTTTTATCCTTTAGAGTAGCTTTCTTGAGTATCTGATGACTGCAAATAGGTTGTGAAGAGGTACTTTTCTGCGAGCACCCTCCATCGCCACAAAGTCCACAGCAGGCAGCAGCAAAACATTCGACCTTGAAGAGATCATCATTGTATATAGTCAACATCAGCCCGACTACAGAGAAAGGAAGAACTGGGTTGCCTCGAGAATACTCTATTTGGAAGGGGTCTCTCCTTTTTATTCCTGAAAGAGGTGTCAGTCCATACTGTACATCTTTGTCTACAGCCCTTCCTGAGTCCTCTACCATTATACCCTTCACTGAATAGGTAGTAACGTGTTCCATTTTGCTTTATGCATCCTCTGCTGCCTATGCTTTGGCCATCCTTTACAAGGGGGGATGTCTTGTATCAAATGATGTTACGTACCTTACTATGATTCGCCTGCATGAAACCCTCTGGTCCTATCAGCAGGACAGGGCACCCTCCCTATGCATATGCTTCATTGATCATTTGCTCACGGCGAAGTAAATTACCTAAGATTCTGTATGATATAGCAAGCGGCTTTAAGGGATCTTATAACCTCTTCAGGAAACATATACCTATCCAATTGGACATCTTCCTTTCTTCTGCTACAACAGTACAGTGAATTGGCTGCGATGTCCAGAGATAAGGTACTTAAAGGATGGGAGAAACACCAGATGGCCGGATTTATTTGCTAAATGTTCAAAAATGCCAGAGTTAGCACGTACTCTTCCGGCTTCGTGGTACCGCAGCCAGCCGCTCTATCAGCTCGAGCGCAGGGCAATTTTCAACAAGGTATATAACTTTGCCTGTGTGTGAATGGCGCAAAAATGTCTTATAATCGGATAGTCGTGGTACCTACTCGGACCTGTGACAAGGTTCTTGACCATAGGAGAAAAAGTCGAGTATGAAATCGCCCAGCAGTCGGTACTCGCTTTTCGATGCTCTGGAGACGCGACTTTCCCTGGTCCAGATGAGATCCAGGTGCTCAGTGTGAGGACAGTAAGCTCTGCTCAGGATCCCGGTACCATATTATGGATACTCATCATTTGTTTAGGGCAAAAAGCTTCGCTCTCATGTCACACCTACTGGTCTTGTCTTTACTACATTGTCGGACGAAGCTCCAAACTTTGACGAGTACTTTCCGGGTCTCGAAGCATTGCTAGAAAGGGTGGATTTCACCAAGCTGCCATACAGGCGCAGCATCAAATATGAAGGGCGCTTCAATTGGAAGACGATGTGAGGAAGATTTTCCCTTTGACTACCAAAATCTCTCTGACGGAGAGCAAATAGGGTCGATGGTTATCAGGAATGTCTGCATTGTCAATACACACATCCCTCGTTCTCCATATATTATCCCCCTACATTCTATACTGTCAAGAATCACCAGAACTTCTCGCAACATATCGCTGATCCAAAGAAACCAGACGACGGATTGTTCTTGTATTTCTTTCCCAACTGCACTCTCAACGTCTATGGCGGAGGCATGTCTTCATTCCGTGTCTGTCCGACTGAAGATCCGAGCCTGACAAGGATGGAATTTGACTATTACCACAAAGAGTCCGGGCATAAATTTGAGGAGTATTACAGATTCGTTCGACAGGTTGCGATGGAGGACTATGAACTTTGCGAGAAAGCGCAAAGTAATCTGGAAAAGGGCGTATATAGCGAAGGTATTCTGAATCCAGAGCAGGAGAACGGTGTTTCGTGTGAGTCTAAGATTGACAGCCGCTAAGCTTGATGTGAGAACCTGTTTTAATGCGTCACAGTTTATCAAGACAAAGTCTTTGAGCTTGTGTGCCAGCAGCACGCCGCGGAAAGCGGCAAGGTATGATCTCGCCGCACCCAGAGTGAAGGAATCAGAGATAAATGCCGAGCAAGTCGGAGCGTCCGCATAGTAGACACGGCTGTTACATTTGCATGTTTGGTCATAAGTATCCGTTAGCATTAGTCTAGATGCATACATGCCTTGATCGCGTATTCAAATTCGCCTTCACCTTTTAACGCAGACTAATAGTCATTTGGCAATCTCCTCAACTGCAACGCTCGCATGAGACAACTGTACACCGGAAAAGCTCACCGAATTTGGAAAGATATGCAACATTCCTGATGTATGGGATTGACTCATAGGTGTACGACGAGTCTAGTCTCTTCATGCGAGCCCATCGGGCAACTAACAGGATTAATCTCCCTGAGGGTCATTATCAAGTTGCAGTCCTATAAATGCCTGGGTGGCTCCCGGACGCTGCGGGGTTGACCACATGAGAAAACAGTTGAGAGGATAGCTATGGAGGCTCTGATTTCCCCTACGCCAATACTTGTAGCACTGTTGACTGCCATCGTCTTTATATGTCGAGCCTGGCCCCGTGGAACATACCCTAAGACGCTCTTCATAGACCAATCTGAGCCATCCCCTCAAGTCTCAAGAGTCGAAGACACACAAGCTGTCTGTAAGGAATCGGATTTTCCTGAAAACTGGCTGAATAGCAATGATATCTTCCAACTCGAACGGCGCGCGGTGTTCAGCAAGGTAAGCCCGAACAAACATGCTCCGGGCTCGAATTTCAGGACTCTTAACACGTGAGGATCACAGTCATGGCTGTATCTTTCTCACCGCAGCCAGTTCACAAAACTTGGCGATTATCGATCCTTCGAAGTGGCCGGCTTCCCCATCTTCCTCATCCTAGGCAAAGATGGTGTGATCAGAGCTTTCCACAATGTCTGTCGCCATAGAGCGTACACGGTCGCGAATAAAGAGCGCGGAAGTTCTACTGTTCTCGGATGTCGCTACCATGGCTGGAGCTACAACACCAAAGGCGAACTTATTAAAGCCCCTCATTTTGACAATGTACCTGGTTTCGACAGATCACAGAACAGTCTGTTTGCTATTCATGTTCAGCAGAGCACCGACGGCTTCATCTTTGTGAACCTCGAAGCCAATGCGCCACGTGAGCTGCTAGAGATCAATTGTCTGGCCGACTTCGTGGAACGTAATGGGGCTATAGCTCAGTCACGCTGGATTGGGGGTAAGGCTATCGAAGGAGTATTCAATTGGAAAATGGCTGGTAAGTTCTGCAGTCTTGCCTTCTTTGGCCTCGATGAGCTCTGATGATTTGCCGCACAAGTCGTATCTGAGAAGCAGTTCGGTACAACTGCAATTTTGCCCGAACTTGCGCGACTTGTGCGGTCATCTCTTTTAGCAAGAATCAAGCATCATTTGGACGGGAAGTCTGCAGGAGACTCTGATATTCTGCTATTTCCCAATGTCTCGTTTCATACCATTAAGGATACCAGATATTGGTACTCTCTAAGCTTCCATCCGGCGTCTGAGCGAAAGACGCTGATCCGATACGATCTGTACCGCTTCCAGAGCACGGATGGCGATGCCAATTCTCAGTTGATTTCAGATAAGCTCATTGAGATGATAACGGGACAAGTTACCGAATTGGGGAGCCAATATCATTTACAAGCCAGGGGAGCTGAGGCTGGCTCCCAGGGAGGTGTGATCGAAACGACCACAGAAGATAGGGGTTTTCGTTCTCTCTTGGGAACGTCAAGTTCGTCTCTACCTGGCTCTCAGTATCCATCTTTGGAGAACCTTAACGTGCTAACGTCGAATAGATTTGCAAAAGATGATTCTCGAGCAGCTGAAAAAGCATACTAAGCTCGAAAAGCTGCAAGGGATGGAAGTGCATCCTGCGATGAGGCAGCCGCGAATGACGCCAAAGTCCCAGCAGGCCGACCAACGTAAGTTGATACCCTCTTGTTGTTCGCGAATTCAGAGCTGGATGATTCAGAAGTAGCTTCACTGACTTATCTCAGTGTGCCGAGAGCTCGAATGTAGCGGCGAAACATTCACAAGTTTGGCCTGGTAGCCGTCATTCGCATTGAAGCGATCAGTCGCGTAGTAGACCCAAATTTTTAAATGGCTTAGGACTGGGAGCTCTCTGGACAAGCGCTGATTAGCGAGGCGGCAACCCTTTCTTCTTATTATTATTATGCAATACTTCACCAATGCGGAATCAAGGCACTTCCCTAGTAGATCCATAGCTTGGGAGCATCTCTTTTTCTGTTCTTTATTGATTTGTGATGGGAACAGAAGATGTAGTATTGGCAGTGAAAGGCGAGCCACCAATCAACACCCTGAATTGACACATTCTTTCACTGCTCTGACTTTTGATTCTACTACGACGTGTCAACTTTCCCTTTTCCGCATATCCATTTCTCCACTATTTCGGGTTCTTGGGACCTATCTGGAGCTCTGATCTACCCTGCCAACTCCACCCTCCTGATTGTGCAAAAGATCAAAATCCAAGTACCTCTCTAGATTTAACATTAATATAAATGCTTTAAAGACGTCCTCGTAACCTCGTGTCCCTTTTCCGATCGTTTCCATTGAAGTGTCCGTAAGTTCAGACACTTGATCACTCATCCGGTCCATCGGCTAAATAGGTAAACACGAGTTCTTTATCTGAACTTCTAAAGTATTTTTAGCTCACCAGCCCAGAACAATACGTGTCTTGCCCGTAGCTATCACTATCGCAGACAGAGTCAATCCACGCAACACGAGCTTCCGAAGTAGTCTGCAGTAAGTACGCCGAAGATTTTCCCCTGGTTCGTATCTCGCACAAAAAGACTAAATTAGACAAAGTGCTGATCTATGCAAAAATAGAGCCAAGCATCCTATTTGACTTTCTCTTCCGAGTCCACTACTCTATCTACGAGGTGAACTCGTATTCGCCCGGTCGCTTGAGCTTTCGTCTATCTCGCGCGTTGCCAGATATGTCTCTACCCCCGATTGCAACGGCAACCTTGCAGGCTGCGCTCGTAAATGCGGGTTCGAATGTCCTTGCCCAGGGAATCAAAGCGTGGAGAGATCAGGTACGTGGGTTTGATCTCATGTTGTCTTAACCATCCTAGCGAGCAATCAGCCATGGACAATTCCATTAACATGAAATGGAATGATGACGGTTCTGACGAGCGATGGCGATGATTCGCACAAGGTAGACACCATTCGAACTCGACCTCCAGGCCTTGTTCCAGTTCACGACGTGTGCGTTTGTACTCTCGCCGCTGACGTACGTCTGGCTTGAGAGCCTGGAGTCGAGGTTTCCGGGCTCTAGTGAGAATACGTCAGTCAACAAGTCTACTGCTGAGAAGAATGGCTCGAAGCACGGGAAGCAGAAGTTAAACGTGAAGAATACCGTAGTAAAAGTCGTGATTGATCAGACTGTCGGCGCGGCGATCAACACCGTGGCCTTCGTTATGACTATGGGACTTTTACGGGGACAGGATTTTGAGGTCATCAAGGCACAGATTCAGAATGTAAGTCCCCTGTTATTACTCCCTTCTGGTGGAATTCCTTTTTCTTTGCAACCTAGCGAGGGTATTAGCCAGGTCTGATGCGCCGACAGGACTTTTGGCCCATCATGCTTGCTGGCTTCAAGCTCTGGCCTTTTGTCTCGATTCTCAACTTCACGGTTGTACCCGCAGATAAGCGATTGCTTGTTGGTAGTTTGTTTGGCGTCATCTGGGCAGTTTACCTGAGTCTGATGTCTGGGTGATATTGGCCCCAGATAAGGCAGTTCCATGATTGCAATTGTTGGCCCCCATGCTCTGGTTGTAGAAAAGAATAGACTGAGAGAATTGTTGGGTTGGTTTTGCTTGGTTAGACATTCAAGACGTAAGATGATTTGATTAAGGCTTAATCTTACGCAGATCAATGATGAAATATGGCCGCGGATGATCAGGAAGGATAGTTGGTACTATTTGTTGTGGATTTCTATCCAACTTCAGCCCCCAACGGCCCCATTATATGTTTATCTCCAATAGGCATACTATAGCTGATGCACATCATCGAACAAGGGCCAGAGGCGAATCTCTATATCCGCCTTCAGCAAAACCGCTGACCTCAGACGGGAACTCACGTCCTGCACTCTGTCACGATCACCCCAGCAATTGAGCTTGACTCGAACGTATGTGAGACACATAGTTCAGATTTACTTCCCGAAAACGCCTTACTGTCGACGGTAAAGTTATTTTATCCAGGCAATCGCCAACAATAAGTTGGCCCCTTGGAGTTCCATCGGCGATTGTAGAGTGTTGGGGGCAGGTATGGTTTGAGTCGTTAGTCGATATAGGTTGTACGCAGTGACATCTGCAACTGCAGAGCATAACCTAAAATAGTGTGGGCTTACAACGGAGAACCAGATCTGGCAACTTGTCTACATCTTAACAGTCTTCGAGACCGGGGGTTTCCTATTCGGAAGGATGAGCTCCAGTTTATGGTAAATCATACTCGAGTCCCATGCGTCATGCCTAGTTTCCGTCGTGCGAGGAAGATGCAGGTAAGCGGAAGGAATGTGGCCAAACCTAAGATGGAAGTAGTCTGTCGTATGCCTTGCTAGAGGAGCGATCAGCAGGTTGACATGGCACAGTTATTATTGAAATAGAGAATAACGGGACCATGTCAATGTTCGATAAAGCCCCAAGTTCTCAACTGATGACTGGGTCGACAGCCAAACTGGCTCAAGCATAGCAACGGCCCAGACTTATTCTGTGTGGCCCCCAGAACACTAGATAGTGACTCTAGAGTTGAGCGAGACCCCGTATCTATGATGGCCAGAACTGAAATCCTCCTGAAATCCGGCAAGGTGGATTGGGAGTCTACCAAGAATGGTAACCAGTTAACCAACGAGCTTATACGATGAGCGAGGATGGAGTGGACCGGTGGCTGACATTTGGAAGATGCAGAAGTGCAGATCAGTGGGTTGGCTCGATGGCGGAGCATCCAAGCCTGGGGGAATGCGAGGACAAGGGCCGTGAAGACGCCAAAAAAAGACTCGATACGACAAAGCGGGATATTACTTCGTGTTCCTGACTTCTTTCATTTTACCAAGGGAATTGATACCTCTTTTTGTATTTGCATATACGATTGTGGATGTTGATAGAATCAGCATCGCTTTTTTTACGAAATTGTTGGGGATACAGTTTATTCTCGTTTCTTGAAGAAATACCTCGTTGCACTGATGAACAAAATGATATTATTAGAAATGACAGTATCTGTAATTCAGCTAAGCGAGGCTTTGTTGAAGTCGTACAACACCAAAAGTTCTTCAGAATGAGAAATACCACTAGTAACTAACTTGTCACGCCTGACTCTTTTGGCCCCCCATTCATCATTCCTCGTGTCACCAGCTTCATCATCCATCACCATTGGATTGATTGTCGAGGGATCGTCCCATGCAAAGTTAACCTTGTGCCCTCAGCCTTTGACCACAAGTAGCTTGGTTGGATAGGCAGCTTGCGGAAAAAATGATTAGTTTCAACAATTGGATAGACCATAATAGTCTATGTCCCCCAACACCAACAATGCTTGCCCTGTTCTTGCAAGAAACCAACACATGCCAAGCACGTGGTGACAAGGACTCGAAATTGATTTATGCATTTATTGTCCGACTAGTACTGCATCTCAGTACTATATACCCGGTCGTTTTTCCTGTTGACCACTCATCCCTTGGCAGGAGGTGATGCTGCCTCTTTGTCCTACTCTGTACATACCTGCCTCTTGACTGGTTCGTTTCCCACCGAGCACTCTGGGCGTCATGTGGAACAGATTCATGCTAACTGCTTTCTTCAGATAGTTCTTCTCTGTTCTCTTTGTTCCCTGTATAGTGCAATTTCGAGGCGATCTCTATCAGCTTCAAAAATCACCAGGGAAGTAAAGGAACACCGACGGCTGGGACGTCCATTCTAAACTTCCAAGTCCGTTCGACTCAAAGACCTGAAACTGCTATTGGGATCTTTCATCATCGCGACGGGAGGACTTGCCAGAACCTTTGTTTTGGTGAGGAAGAGCAGTGCAGTGACCCAGGAATAGACTGGAGTGGCATTGTCAAGGAGAACAAAGAACGTCCCGAAGCCACGGATCTGTCTCGCATGATCATGTATACGCCTGAGAAAGGCACATCTGCCCAGTGACTTAACTGTACAGCTCTAAGTACGGACCACCAGCGCTTTCCAGATCCGTGGATCATATCGTACACCGCATTTTCCGAACTTGGGTAAACCGTACGCAGCACAGCCCTTCTGGCTTGACTCGATTAGAGATTTGAACTGCGGGAAGGACCCGTTGAAAAGGCTACCATCTCTAAAAATGAGCACGACAGACCCGTTAGGCGCGTTGCCGTCTGATTCAGAACATTCCGTTACATCGATCTCAAAGTGTGATACCTCTACGAGTCGACCATCCGATGACGAATGGACAGACGACGACGATTTCGCAATCTCACCACTGTCGGACAGATCACCTCCAAGAGGGACTCATTGGACTCGATTCTTCCCTGAACTGTCATCGCATTTCTCGCTAGTGTCTCCGATAAGCACCACTATTCCTAAGGTGACACCATTTTCTCTTCTAGCAGACATGCAGGCGATTGATCATCAAAACCGACAGAATTCCTCGGATTCTGGCACTAGAACTGATTCTCCGTCCTTGTCTGAAGACACTTTTGACACAACTTCCTCGTGCTATAGCCGAAGATCGTCCGTGACAAGTCTTGGCTCCGAACTAGCCGGGTGCCCCTACAAATCAGCCGATGCCTTTTCTGTCATTTCCCCCGCTGCTGCAGGAGTTTTTGATGACGATACAGCGCCCGTGCTAGTAGGCTCGGCCTTCAAGCTAGTCGTAAAAAGTCCCTCATTGGATGAGGTGAGAAACAAGCCCCTCCCTCGGGAGCCCCCGATTGCTTTAGCTCCCTTGTCAGTTCGTCACAAAGGCCCCCGTCCGCTCCAGGCTTGCGAGCGTCCCTCCAGCGACCGGCCTCGTACGACAACCCCGGCCAGTCCTGCCACACAGTTTTCGCGTTCCCAGCGTACTCTATCCCAGGCAGCTGAGGAATTGGAGAATGTCCTTGCAGGAATCACCGAGCAGCGCCACAATGAGCCCCAATTGTCGTCTTCACAGATCTTCAACGGGCCCTTGCAGATAAGCCGGGGAAATATGGACATGATTGCTACTCGACCAGCTCCAAAGCCTCCTACAAATATTACTTCTACCAAGTCAAATGACAACTCGAGTCAAAAAATCAGTCACGAAAAATCAGAGCGGGAATTGCGAAAAACAATGAAGAAAGCCACTAAGAATAAAGGGCCCTTCTCGTTTGTGGTCCCTGGATTCAGTCGCAAGTACACCAATCCTCACCTTCGATCATTCAGCAGCTCCAGCGTGAAGTCAGAAGTGGAATCCCCGTCCTTTCACCCTCAGCGCCCACCGCACCCGGAAACTATTCATGATGAGGCAGAAGATACGGCTGAAGTGGCCGAGTCTTCCTGCTTGCCAATACCCTCCCAAAGACAGAGACCATCGTCCTTTTGTAGCGAAAGAGAATTACGATCGAAACTCCCTCGACTTCAAACAAAACAAGTGCGCAGCCACGAAGACCTCGTCTCCACTTCCAGCTCTGTGGGAGACAAACTGGTCGCTGAGAGATCGATACCTGCAATCCGAGCGAACAATGTAGAGGAGAAGATTTTTGTCGCATCGAGTAAAGCAGGACGATTAAACACCTCAGACTCGCTATTCGAATTGGAAGGTGGCCTGCCTCAAAGGATGGTCTATGAGCTTGATGCAGGTTTGCCGTCACCACATCCCAAAATTACCATCTCACTCCACAAACCCCGCGAGACAACTGCTGTCCAACTTCCAGACAACGTCACCCTCAAAATATTGGAGCAAGTTTCTTCCCTTGATGATCTCTTCCATTTAGCCGTCGTCTCCAGGCAGTACTACCGCGTTTTCAAACAGCATGAATTACATCTCATGAAGACTGCTGTCTACCGCATGTCCCCTCCAGCCTGGGAATTGCGTGAAATGAGCCCTCCCTGGGATAGCGAATGGCAGATTCTCGTCGATCCGGACGCCCCTGTCCCCGAATACACTCCGACACTTTATCTCCAACGTTACGCTCAGGACATCTATACGCTCGCTCGACTCAAATCACTCATCCTGGCCCGGTGCAATACCTTCCTTCGCCAGGAAACGATCAATGGCCTGACAGGCAAAGATGATACCCGAGCGGCAGAAATCGACGACGCCTTTTGGCGAATCTGGACGTTTTGCCGGATCTTTGGCTGTGGCAAGAATCGGGAGAATGATATAGTAGGACAGATGGACTGGCTGAATGGCGGCGTTATGGCCCACGACCGTAATAGCATCGTGGCCACGTCGCTCACTGAGCCATTTGGCATGAACAATGTCCTATTCGAACCACCGGAAGGGTTCGGGCGCGGAAACGGGGACGGTCTCTCCCAGAGTCAGCTCTACGACATGACAGAAATATGGACCTGTCTTGCCGTGTTGCTCCAACCCATTCACGGCAGCTGCACTGAGGCC